GGTCAGGCGCGGCAGGCGGCGAGCCCCATGGCGGACAGGGCCCAGGCCCTGCTCAGAGTGCAAACACCTTTCCTCTGGGCAGGCGGCGGGGCTGGCGACCCGGGCGGAGGAGCGCCAGGGCCGCCCGGAGACTGGAGAGGGCGGGGTGGAGGGTCAGAGGAAGGAGGCTGAGGTAGGTAACTAGGTGGGTGGGTGGGGACGGCAGCGGGGCGGGCTAGTGGAGGTGGCAGCAGCTCCCCTCTCAGGGTTTCTTTTGTTTCATGGCCTTTACCAGCCCCCGGCGCGCGCGGCGGCGGCGGCGACGCCCCACGCCGCTCTCCGAATGAAGCCGGAGAGCTCTGATTGGCTGCTTTTAATCTCGGGGAGCCCGCCCTCTCCTCTTGCTGCCTTCCAATTCCTTTCCCTAGTCCCACCCACCCACCCTCTTCTCGGGCCCCGCCCCGCCCCTCCCCAGAGCTCTCTGATTGGGTGACGGGGACGAGCCAGCCCCCGAAACCTTCTCCTTCCGTTCTCTCCCCTCCCCCCACCCTTCTCGCCTTTCCCTACTGGCTCACGAGGAGAGGGACTGTGATTGTTCGCTTTATACATCACTCTTTGTGACGTAAGCAATGGGGCGGGGAAAAGGAGACGGACAAAACGCGACAGGGAAGGCTGAAGCCAGGGGCTGGGCGGGACTTTGGCGCAAGCGCGTGCACTCTACAAGCACACCTGGTTCCCTTCCTCTTGTCTCCCCCCACCGTTATCGGTTGGGTTCTTTTAGGGAAGGTACCATGTAAGCAGCAGCCGGGAGGACGTTGTTTGCTCAGGCTGGGAAAAAGCTTGCCCCTTTCGAGTCATCCAAGGAGGGGCCTATCCTCTGGCGTGGGTGATTTCCTGAGCCGCGTGGCTCCTGGGCCTTATCCAGCTACGACCCGGGGATGCTCCTCCCTTGGGGTCCGACCCTCACACGCCCAGCTGGCTGAGCTTCCCGTGCGGGCCGGTTGGTCATCAGGAGCCTTGGGGTGCTCAACTCCAGTTCTTTGAAGCTTTTAAAGGAAATTACAAGTAGTTCGTTGTTCCCTCCTCTCTAGACGCTCTTCCTGCAGTATTTTTCAGGCAATCTGACACCGAGGCTATCTTATCTAGGGATTATTTTAAAGTGGCTTGTTAAAACAAAGCCTATTACTTCCTTCTGTTTTAGGCTGTGACTACCCCACCCCTCCCTTTAGTACCAGATACTCTTCCCAGGTTAGTCTTAACCGGTAAAGCTGTCCTGTAGCGATAGAATGAGGGCAACGAAGGCTTCTAGCGGCTTCATTAAAGTAGAAACAGTTTTAACAAGCATGCTTTAGTTCAATATGTCCAAAGTGTTATGTCAGCACGTCAGCAATATAAAATCATTAATAATACATTTTACAGTTCTTTTTAAGTCCTCGAAACCGTGTGTGTTTTACACTTAACAGCATAGCGATTCGGTTGGCTTCGCACTAGGTACCCGTAATAGTAACTCTCAATTGCTCTAGGCTAGACCTGGATTTTTGAGTTATAACTTGGGGGCCTTTCTATGTTGGTTTTATATACTATATCTTATTACCTCAAACTTTTCTTCTGAATCAACTTTAATTGAGCTCCTACATTTCTAAACTGTCTAGGCTGTTGCAAGGACAGTAGTACAAGAAGGCAGAAATACGGCTTCCATTTCCCTATTTTGGGTCCATAGAACCATTTGCACAATCTTTCCACCTACCCCTCCCCTCCAATCAAAGGCCTAGAAAATGTTAGCTGACACTAATCCTTTCCAATTATTCCTAGGTTTTCCCAGCCCCTCAAGAACCCTGCAAGTTGGACTCTGCGCCCTAACTCAGTGGTTACGGCGCTGGCCACATACACCGGGGCTGGTGGGCTCGAACCCAGCCCAGGCCTGCTAAACAATGACAACTACAACCAAAAAAAATAGCCAGCTGTTGTGGTGGGCACCTGTAGTCCCAGCTACTTGTGAGGTTGAGGCAAGAGAATCGCTTAAGCCCAAGAGTTGGAGGTTGCTGTGATGGTCTACTGATGGTGACAAAGTGAGAGTCTCAAACAAACAAACAAAAAAACCCTGTAAGTTGCTTTTATAACAGCTCACTTTTAGTAGTAAGGTCTGGTGGGACAGTTGGGTTTGCAGAATTAATCTTGCTGGTTAACTCTACTGAAAAGTGATCTTTTCCTTCCCTACCTTCCCAATTAGACCAAAATTTCACCTACACCCTGTTTAAGATATGCTCCAAGGACACATTTCATGGCATCCTGCTAAAGAGCCTGAAGCTTTTTTAGACTAGTGAATAGTAGTCCAACTAAGACTACACATTGACTTATGGAATATATGAAACCATTTACTGTCTGATTTTTTTTTTTTTTTTGAGACTGAGCCTCAAGCTGTCCTCCTGGTTAGAGTGCTGTGGCATCACAGCTCACAGCAACTTCCAACTCCTGGGCTCAAGCGAGTCTCCTGCCTCCGCCTCCCAAGTAGCTGGGACCACAGGTTCCCGCCACAACGCCTGGCTATTTTTTGGTTGCAGCCGTCATTGTTGTTTGGCAGGCCTGGGCTGGATTCCAACCCGCCACCTTGGGTGTATGTGGCTCGCGCCTTAGCCACTTGAGCCACAGGCACCAAGCCTACTGTCTGATATTTCAATTTAAATGATAACCACTATGTGAAGGGAAGAACGTCTGAAAAAGCAAATCTCATCAAGATAAAACATGCAGTGGCCACTCCCAGGATGTATTTGTCATTGGAAAGAAATTCGTACTTGAATTACAATAGAAACTCTTTAAAGGCTTTTTCTCCACCTCTTAATGAGTTATCATATAATCCTCATCCCCATCTTAAATTCTCTTCCAAAGGACCCACAGCAAAAGCTGTAACAGGAGTGATAGTCACCACACATTTTTCTTTAGGGAGAGGAAGATGTAGATAAGAGCCACAAAGATCTATTTGGCTAAGATTTTTAAAAAGTGCTTAATGCTTTGAGGTGTTCATAATATAAAAATTGCTTTCTACTTCATTCTCACATTATAAATGAGGTTTCATGAGTTCTCATACACGAATATATACATTCATGCATTAATTTATATTTGATCAATATTGTGATTTATGAGTAAGTTAGGAGATATTGAAGCTCATGGACCTTCCCATTTGGGTCTAAATTTATCAGCTTGTATTAAATCTTGTTTATGAAGCAACTTTGAGGTTTGCTTTTGCCCTAAATATCTGACTAGATTCTTAAATTTAAATTTATCAAACAACCCACTCCCTTCATCCTCTCTCAGCAACACAACACACTAATTTGCACCTCAAGAGGGTTTCCCTTTTATTCCTACACTGCTGTTTATGACACAGTTTGATACACTGGGGAAAAAGAGTTGTTTTAATGATCATAGGAGAAAAAAAAACCTACAGAATTGGCTACTCTTTATCAAATAGCAGGCAGACTGCTGATTTAGCCTTTTAAATCTATCTGATTGTAATTTTAGGCTTGGAATAATTGCAAACTAAACAAAGCTTAAGAAGATGTGGGGCCTGGTAAAAAAAAGTGAGGTAATTAGACGATAATTTCAAAACAATGGTTTAAGTTCACAAAAGTATGGTGAAAGATTCTGCTAATACCCTCACCTACAAGCCCAATCTAAGCCTATGCTTCATTTTTAAGGCAGAATGAGATTCTTCAAGATAAGGTGTCCCCTGGAAGCAGTGGTACCCAGCTCTAAGATAAGTCTTCCTTAAGGACCTCAAATATGTCATCCTCTTGCTTGAATGACTCCTATTGCCTGAGAACAACTTGGGATTCCTGGCCTTCCACGTTCTAGTATCACTCTTTCATGCTTAAATCTCTCCCATATGAACAGAAACTCTTCCTTGACAGCATAGTTACCCCTCTTGTTACCACCCTGTCTACTCCCTATCACCTTCACCAATCAGCTGCCTGACTGGCCCTTGCTGTCAGTCTCACCTTGCCACTGAATCTAGGGAGCACTTTTCATCCTTACCCAGCTTAACCTTTCCGTGGCAGGATTTGACACTATTGACTATTCCTTAAAGCTGTTTGTGTTTCTTGAGAGCATGGTCTTCTGTTTTTCATCCTTCATCCATAGTCATGCCCATCTCCTTTGTAGGCTCTGAGTTCCTACCACTCACATTCAGTACACATAATCCATCAAAGATCTACCTGAGGCCTGCCTTCTGCTTACTCCATACTCTCCACCTGCAAATCTTATCCATTCCTGAGGTTTCTGTTCTCTTGTTGAGAATTCCCAGATTTATGTTAGCATTCCTGATCTCTCCATTGAGTGCTAGACTCACAAATCCCACTGTTTATGGATACCTCTAATTGACAATTCAAACTCAACCCCAGTTTAAGCTTGACTTCCCAAACTGAAACCTTCTCAGTTAAAATTTGATTTTCAGCTTAATAAAGTACCACTCAGTTCTTTTGACAAAAGTCTGGTGGGCATTTTTAACTTCTGCTTTAACTCCCATCACCAAAGATTTGGTTCTGTGGCCATACCTCCCATTTCTCAAATCCATCTGTCTTTCTACACTTTTACCACTGTGATAGACTAAGACACATAAATTTGATCTTTATCCCTAATTCCTGGCACTGAGCTCCTAAAACCCTTGTAATTTCCTAAGTAATAGCGATGA